TCCCTCAGTCTCTCTCCAGCCTCTCTTGCTCCAACTCCTTCCTCCACCCGCCTCTCTCTTTGGTCTTCCCTTATCTTAAGGAGACTGACCTTGCTCATTTTGGCATATCAGTGATGTGACAAAAGCAGCAGCTGAACTGGTTATTTGGGGGGTGTTAATTAATAAAAGGTAATGATGGGATTAAAACCAAAAGTTAGATGAGCTGACTGGAGAAGACAGCTTCCCAGCTAGCTATATTTAATTAGCAGCAATTAATACATTTTCAGCTTATATCCTGTAGGACTCTTAATGATTTAGTTCAACATGAAAGAGAATGGAGACAGAGCACTGGAACACCACTGACAAGTGTCCAGGGCATATTGCTCTGGTAACAAGAGAAATTGTTGCAAATTCATTTAAGAAAATGATCACAAACCAGAGACTGGCATACTCTGAGGCCACTTTGGAGGAAATATTGATGAAACACAATTTTTTTTCTTTTTTGCATTGGGGAAGAGGCACTTTTTTTTTTTTTTTTAAAGCAGAGACATGCATTAGGAAAAAAGAAAAACAAATAGAAGGTTGAAAAGAAAAAAATATATACTTCAGACCCCAGGCAGCAGCAGACGCAGCAGCCGTTACAAACACATCAGCCCTGCACTATTGAAGATTTGGACACATAATGCTTCAGACCACTGATTTGCTATTTTCCTAATTCCGCTCTTCTTTTTCCATATGAATCAAACAGTCTTTTGTCCTTCGGGGTTTGATTTGATCGCTACTGTTCACATTTCACTTTTGTATTTTCCTCTTCCTATACCATTACTCATTGAGTGCCCCGTGAAATTACAATCGTACATTTTCAACTCAGCAACCCATTTGCAGTGCAAAAATAGGGTCTAAATAATGGCTGAATTAGCCCTACTGGACAGTTTCAGATGTAACACTCTGTAATAATTATATTGCAGGCTGGATTAGGATGCTATTATCATAATCTGGACGTTTACAATTATCTGTAATTTGCAAAGATGCGCCAGGTCTTGATTACAGCAGTTTTTTTTTTTTTTTTGTATCACGCTAACCATCACTAAACAGTGACAGTAATAACAGCTAATTTTGCTGGCAATATAAGAGGTGCTGGGGTGTGCAAACAATTTCACACCTGGATGTGCTCACTCAACCAAGAATATAGAGAAAGAGCTTCTGCCCTGAGACTCAGAAAAATATTCTCCTCTGCTTCGGTTCAGTATAGATTTCTAGACCCTGATCATTGCTTAAGAGATATTCACTGGGGGTAAGTTTTTATTTCTTGAATACTTCAAGGCACAGCTCATGTTTCTCTGCTTACACTTCCAAGTTATATGTGTTGCTGTTGTAATGTATCATGGGCTACAACTTTGCTATATAGGTTTTTCAATTCTGACCTTTTATCTCCCTTTAACAGTAAAAGGGTTGTTCTAGTCAGTAAAAGGATTTGGGTGAGAATGGAATACTTAAGAACTGGACTTGTCTTTCTTGCTTTCTATGTTATTAATGTATTTGGTGCAGCTTGTAACTAGAGAATGCAGAAAGGACCAGTTTTCTATAAGGTCTTAGAGGGAGCCAGTTGGAGAATCCAAGCTGAAATCTATGAAAATTGTTACAGCTAATCTAACTGAATCCATTGAGGTCTTTACATGTGGGCATGACAAGGTTTTGAGGCATCAAGAGGTCTAACGGAGCTGGTGATGGAGCTCCGTTAGAATCACAGGTCTGGGGACATTTTCAAGGACAGGTGTAGACTGAATCTCTCGCTTGTGCCCCCCCTTTCTAACTGGCCTCTGAAACCGTTCAAGGCTGCTTTTCATGGCCTTCTCCTCCAGCCGGTGTTTGGGGTGGTGAGGGAAGGGTAGGATATATGGATCTTGGAGCTATTACCTGCGGAGCCCAAATGCTGAGACCTTGGGGCTGGAAGGGCGAGATTGATTGAGGCACAGCACTGAGCTGCGACCAGTGCGATTTAGGAACGCACCAACACTCCAACAAGAAGCGGTACTATTCTATCTATAGATGATGCTTTTTCCTGACCTTGTAGACGTTATAAGCAACAGGAGATGTTAAGTGCAAGACCCTGAGAAATCTTTGGCTTCCCCACCCGAGAGCATAAAGGGCTTTCTCTGGTGGCGGAAGCCTTCTGGCTAAGTTGTGTCAAAAGATGAGATGCTTTTTAGTGCTAAAGAGAAATGGTCCCGGTCACCCCCCCCCCCATTGTGTTCTCCCTCTGTCTCTCAAATAGGAAATATGGTCAGAACTACGCTCAAGAACTCGAACTCTACCACCTCTGGAGAAGTTTGAACGTGGGGAGGCGTAGTAGTCACCGCCACTAGGCGATGCCTTTTGCCCACGCCCCTCCTACCAATCCCTCCCTCGGGAATAGGCTTACTATGGGGGTAATACATTCTAAGGAGGGAAAATATTAACCCTTGAGGTTCAAAGAAGCCAAAGGAAGCCCAGTTCCAAGGAAAGTCTGGAGTACTCCCCGGCAGAATTCAATTAATCTGATGTTAAGTGGTAAAAAATTGCTGTAAGATGCATCATGACTACATTTCTGATATATTAACATGCATTTGCTGGGTTTCAATATTCCTTGCACTCACAGTGGTTTGGCATGTATCTGGTGAACTTTTTTTTAAAGAAAAATTAGTGTTGGTTTCGATGTATGGTAGCTTTCTAACGTAATTTGAATAATTCAGCAAAGCCCCACTACCAGCTGTACTTCTGCAGCCTCTTCCATTCTTTTCAGCATTATAATTTTGGTTAATTTTCAATTTTAGGTCCTACGTCTCTGCAATTTGTGTATGAATAACAGAATAATTTCCCTCTTTTGTTTCGCCTTTCCTGTTCCTGAATCTAAATAAAGATGGCTTTTTAGTATTAAAAGTGGAAGAAAATTACAGGTAATTATCTTTGACGGTAAAAACGCTGTAATCAGCGGGCTACATGAAAAATTACTCTAATTATGGCTGCATTTAAGAGAATGGAAAAAAACCTTCTTGTGGATAAAAACCTTAAATTGTCCCCAATGTCTGCTTCAAATTGGATGGCACTGCAGCTGGAGGCTTTGTTCAGAATTGATCCTGGGGAGCTACGAACCCAAAGTTTCACAGTAGGAAGGGGGAAAAAAGAAAAGAAAACATTTTTCCTAATGTAACAATGCGAATGCTAGAAAATGACAAGACTGATCGGTTTTAAACCATTCTGAAGACTGACTGAGAGTGGAAGTTGCTCAACAAAAAAAGGAACGGGTATATTGGTAAGTAGTCTTTGCTTTGTGTCTAATTATAGTGACTGTCCTTTTGCACGACTGTATGTCGCTGTCATTATATGGAGCACTCTGAGTATCTCTATTGACTTCTGATAAATGGCTCAGTGGTTTCAAGGTTCATAATTTGAAGGATGCCCAGGTCTGTAGCCATTAATTCTCCCAGTATGGGGCTTCCTGCTTGTATGACGAAAGGACTTTTCATTTTCATTATTTCTGTGCTTTCCCCCAAGATCGGAAGGATGTATTTCATCCAGGATAGTGCTTTTCCTACCTAGCTAACTGGCAATGGGTCTTGAACATTAAGTAGGCATAATTGTGCACTTTACTTTCTGGGATTCTTTTATTCTTGCTTCTTTTTGTTAAAAAAAAAAAAAAAACTGCTTCCAAACAAAGGCAAATATGCCTGTATTTTTTTCAGCCGGGAAAAGGGAAAGAATATTTACTTTCAGCATTAGAATCTACTGGAGGTCTAGAGGTTAACTTGAGGATGGGGCATTCTAATGTTTAAAAAGATAATATAAATGTGTAGAGATTACAATAAAAACTGAATATGTAAAGAAAGCTGAGGAAATGTCTGTGGTTAAAGTACTTAAGACAAAGGCTAGTGGTGCAAAGTGGCATCTTTGCAAGCACTTGATATTTATATATAGGACTTCCCATATTAGGAAACAGGAATTCTTTTAAGAGCGATAGAAAATATAATGGGAGGGAGAGGAGGGGATGGGGGAGGGAAGGGAGAGAGAGACAGAGACACACAGAGAGAAATACGCAAGACACTCTCAGCGTTTTGTGGCTTTTACTCCATATATGAAAGAAGACAAAAACATACAAAGTATATGTACAACTAAAATTCAACAATATATACAGAAATGTTTCTTGATATAAACGTCCCTATTAGCTTAGTGAATGCCACCAATTCACTTAGTAAAGGTGTCAAAGCAATAGAATGGTGATTTTGGTTGTTTCCTCTGTCTTTCCTTATTCCAGTTCAGGGTTTGGGGGTAGGGTAGGGGAAAGAGTGGGGTTTTTTTTTTTGTTTGTTTGTTTGTTTTGTTTTGTTTGTTTAAATCAATCATCATTCCTGGTCATTTCATTTTGATAAAACATGCAGCGTTTCCTTTGATGCAATGTTCTAATCTTACAGCCGATTTTTCCTTTTTCTTTAGAAAGAGACTGTTATGTGAGGGTTTTTTCTTTCTTTCTTTCTTTACTTTCTTTCTTTTCTTTCTCTTTTTTTTTATCAGTCTGAGATTGGTAAATAAAAATGCAGGAGTTCAAAATGCTTCCCTTTCATCATGTAATGTCTTAAGCTTATTAAACAAGTAAAAATGCTGCCATGTTTGTGCAGATTCTTCTGGTGGGGGGGAAATGTCTGTAAAAAAAGTCATTTTGATGGATACTCCCAAAGAGAAGAGAAGGCTCAAAGCCTGGATCCCAAGGGGTAAAGGAAAATATCCTTACAGAAAGGGGTTTTGGGAGTGATGGCATAGAAACCAGCCTCCCTCTCTCTCTCTCTCTCTGAGATACAGTATCAATTACTGAGGTTGCTCAAAGGAGAAGGCAAATAAGAAGAAAAAAGGAAAGAGAAAAAGAAAAAAATGGTAGAAAGGAAAAGAAAGGAAGAAAATAAAAGAGAGGGAAGAAGAGCTGAAAAGAAAGGAAGGAGGAAGAGGGCAATGGGAGAGAGAGACAGAGAGAGAAACACAATTGCCCAGCTGGCTTCTAGCCACACATACAAAGTTCTCTTGAGCCTGCTCCTTTGGCTCGGTTTGGCAGATGCAAGCAGGTCCCAGATCCTTCTTGCCTTATTCAGACGTTTCCCTAGGGTGTTCCCTTGGACAACTCACATCATCTGTGGTCTCTGCATCGTGTCCTGGTGTGGAGAAGAGTACCAGTGCGAATAGCCAGGCATGTAGCTGTTGGGGGGCATACTGACGCCCTTGGCTGAGGCGGAAACGTCCCACACTGGAGGCAGTGCTGGAGAGCGTGGTGACAGGGCTGCTGAGCCGGGGAGAGGGTCACTCTCATGAGGGTTACTGCCTTGCTTCAGCAGTTTCTTAAACTTAGAGCGTTTGTTCTGAAACCATATCTTCACCTGCAAGAAATGCAGCAATCATTATGCCTGATAAACATTGAACTAGTACATCTAATGTCACTCCAGGCTTTGGAAGCAATATTTAAAAAATAAAAATAAAATCAGAAAACCACCCCTGCAAAAGCCAACAAGCCAAGTCCCCAACCTCCTCCACCTCTTCCTAGCCTCTTCCAACCTACTAGGTATCTTGTCTGGATACCTAAAGTAATTCTTGAGTTGGATGTTAGCTCAGGTTTTAAAAAGCAGCATAAATAAGAATAAAATAAAAAATAAAGTTAATGAGATGAACAAGTTCAATGTCTAAAGAAAGATTTTAAAAGGAGCACTTTTGGATCAAAACCATACAACTGAATGCATTTCCTCTGACAGTCTGTGTTTGTATGTTTGCTAGCCTCCAAAACCAGTATCTCTATGACTATACAGGGAGCATATGATTGTAAAGAGATTAGATCCCATACATTTAAAATTAAATGCCCTGAATGTATTTCTGCATATCTTGCACATGACAAAGACTATGTATGGAGCATCTTTCTCCAGAGGTACAAATATATATCCCCGTAATTCTGCAGGGATTAAGGATTGCACCCCTCTCATCTTGTACTTTGTATGCTGTTTGGTCAAATTGTAGTCAACAATCATCACATGATTGTTAGTGTAGTAACTAAAAATCAAAGGGTTTCTAAAAAGTAAATGTGAAGCAGGAATGTGGGATGGTGCGTATCTTAACCAATGCTCTGGATTTACTGTATTTGAAGAAGAAATTCTATTGTGGTTTCTTTTACCTTTAAAATTCCTTAGTCATAGGTATCTGCTTTTCCAAGAGGGATATGTGTCACTGAATAGCTGGAATCCTTTCGTATCAAACTCCAAATATTTTCAGTGGCAATATGGCAAGACAAAACAGGCTAAGTTGGGAAGAAGAG